TCATGAAACAATACGTAAACATCTAAGGAATATGGGAAAACTCCATAAAGAAGGTGTTTGGATTCCTCACGAACTATACAATGATCATCGTTTCCAACGTGTGAATTTTGCTTCGTCTCTTCTGGCGCGTAAACCATTTTTGGACAGAATTGTCACCGGTGATGAAAAATGGATTCTCTATGCGAACATTAAATGCCAAAAACAATGACTCAGTTCTAGACAAAAATCGCTTACGACCCCAAAACCTAGACTCCATCCGCAGAAAGTGATGTTTTGCATTTTGTGGGACATCAAAGGAGTAATTAATTTGGAACTCCTCAATCCACAGCGAACTGTCGATGCAGAGATCTATAGTCAGCAAGTGGAATGTTTAAATCAAGTCCTTCATCAGAAACGCCCTTCACTCGTCAATCGGAAAGGTGTTCTTCTCCACAAACATTTTTTTTGTTACAAAGCCAAGTGATTTCTTTAATGAGGGCATTAACAACCTGATTGTAAGATGGAAAATCATCATCGATAAGAATGGAGACTACTTCATTTAATAAATGTTTTTTGATATACAAGTTGTTCGGGTTTTTTCATCTAAAAATAGCGACATTAATTTCTTGACGACCTAAAAGTATTACATTGCATTTCGTACCTCCTTAGTTTGCTAGGTTAGTGTTTCAAGTTCACATAGAATCTTCAGTATTTTTCCAACATACATTTCTAACCATGTTGTAGTTTTAACGACAGAATGTTGGTCAGATAATATGGCTAAATTCCTTTCACTGCAGTTACCCATTGTTCTATATAATTCCCCTATGGTTTATGAATGCTTTATTACGAGAAAGATGGATGTAAAGTAGAATACACTATGTAAAGGTAGGCAGCAATCTTTTTTACTGGTGGGTCTGATGAAACCTTGATGATATATATATCCTCTCATTTCATTCTTGGTATTGACAACAGTGGCATGGAAACCACATGCACACTGAGGTTGTCATTATAGAACTTTGTATAATATCCTATGTTCTGTTAGTTTGTAACTAGTAATGAGATCCACCTGAAAGTACCGTTTAATAGTAGTTGTCAGCCCAGAAAACGTGATAAAGCACTGTTAAACACAACTCACACATTTCACTTATTCTACATTATCATGTTGAAAACGACACGTATTCTTTGCTGTGACATTTCTTTAACATGTGATTTGGTAACTGTGTAACTTAGCAATCTAAAACACACACACACAAATATTTTTTTTTGAATATATTCTCTTTAATAATATTTTAAATTTTTGAAAGAAACCATCACAGGTATAAATAAATTTTAATTTTACTATATGCTTTCCAAATGTCATTTTTGTTTTCTTAAGTTGTCAAACTTAATGCCTTGTGGTAAATGAATAACGAACTAAACATCATAATAAAAACTTTGTTGAAACTATGTACATTTATTAGTATTAAACTGTAATAAAGTTTTCTTCATTACCCATTCAAGCCTTCTAAGCTTTATAAATACCATTTTCTTATGTTAAATCATGCTTCAATTTCATTCTGACAGGAATGAGCAAAGCTAAATATTTAAAAACTAAGTTTATCCTAAGAATCAAGTTCCTACTTCTATATTCTGATATTATTAAGAAAAAACAACAACAAAGGAATGAATAAAGTCTTAGAGTTCAGTAATATAAAGATGGTAGATATATTTTCACTCAAACCTTTACATGTACAAACATTCTGAAATTGTAATTCTCTACTCCATTATTGTCTTTCTTTTATATTTTCTGGAGCAAAAGTTTTGATTAAATTTCCTTACGCAGCCATACCTGGACACAAATAACGACTGTGAAAAGTATTCTGCAGAATGGCATTACCTTTTTCAGACAGTTTACTTACGAATGGGAGATAAGGTAGTTGTACAGTTTATCACTTCTACCAATAAAAGCAATTAAGATACACTACATATCTTCAAGCAGCAATTCAAATTGCTTCTGAAACACTAGAGCACGAAACACGTTGACATCAATGTAAATACTGTTTAACAAGATTTTTCACCATTAATTAATAAATTGTTTGTTACTGCAGATATACTGATCTTTCATTTACTTCTATATTAGAAGGTTTCTAATCACATGTAGCATTTTTTTGTTGAAATAGAAAAAGTAACATTTAAAACAAACATTAATTAGGTTTGGGACAAATTACTACCGAAGCTATATATTACTGTCTGATCTCATTTATTAGTCTGTTAATACACATACCTAGAGAACCAATAATTGTCTTGCATTCTTAATGTTTTTAAAGGATTTTGTTTATGTGTTAAAATGCACATAGAAATATGATGAACAAAAGTAAAAAACCACAGATGTAAAATGTACAACTATAAGCCACTGATTCAAGAAAAATTCTTTCATGTCAATAGTAATTGTTTAACCATAGTAATACAAGTTCAACTATTGATATAATTTACCATTTTTCATGAGAAGTCATTATTATCATTTCACATTTTCAACTTTCACAGTTATCTGTAGGCTTGGACATTATTCTAAAGACACAACTGTAAATTTAATATAGAAGTAATATCTTGTGTTTTATAAATACTTAGAAATAATGAATGAGTAAAAAAAAACAACACTTAATCCTGCATCTCTACTTCCAGTATCAACAGGTCATAACGTTTAGTCAATATTAAACCCCAAGGATTGTCAAGTTTAAATGATGGAAAAAGTACAAATAACACATGCACACACACACATACAAACATATATACACATGTAGGTATATAAAGATGACATTCCACATGCATCACTGGTTAAAAAACACAATCTTTCAAGTGGCAGTAAAAACAGAAAGAAATAGTCAAAATGGTGTTTTTAAGTGTTTTACTTTTACTTGTTGTTAAACAAATGTTTAAACAACTCTGTTGAACTATATATCAGCTGCCTAGTGTCGGCTAAAATTACGAAGAATTAAATTGTGGCGGAATACTACAATTTCTTCAAATACCTATAGAATGATAGGTTTCTTTTTTGTGAGTGTAAAACACTAAAAACACCATTTTGGTTTTTTACACCTAACTACTATAAAGGCTTGGTTTGGTCTGAAGTTTCGTTCAGTGGTGTCGTGTCCAGTGTCACTGATGAGGAGTGGAATTCTCCGAAACTAGTTTGGCCCATAGACACACCCCCAATGAAAGAATAGACCATTCCAAGCTTTTACTTGTTGCTAAACAAATGTTTAAACAACTCTGTTCAGAAAGAAATAGTGTTGGCAGGAGAAATAAGACAAACTTGTCAAAAATACATTTTAGTTACCTTTACTGATGATGCTGTCTTAAATTTAAAGTTAATAAAAAATTTTTTGTGTAGTTTCAGCATATACTGAAGGTGGTCCTGTTTCTTTTCTTTAACAACTTTATTTCAAAGATCATTAGGTGGTGCCAGCATGTCACCATATTCTACCTCTTACAGACTTACAAAGAAAGTCACTTTAAAGTTCATCATGTTTCCATGCGTTATCAGTTTGCTCTTTCACAACAACATGAACATTTACATGAACATGAATTTCATGGCTTCCTAACCTGTAACTTTCAACACTCTTAGAGATAACAGATTCTGAAGAGAACAGCGTTTCAAAGTGAGAAACACCAAACCTTGACCAACTTGAATGTAAGACAGAGTTTTGAATTTTGGAATGAATGTGCACATTATCAGCTGTATTCCCAGAACTAAATGTTTTCTCTTTAAACCTTAAACTTTGTTTACCCACATCATTGAAGTCTTGAATGTGATTAGCAAACCTGTGGAACTTTTTATAATCGATTTTGGCATCTTTTAAGGAAATTTCATTCAAGACACCTTCTCTTCTATCAGAACTGACAGTGGGCAAAACTGTAGCATATTGGCCTGAATCATATGGTAAGACTTTCTGAGTAGTATCTGGTTGTTTCTTGCCAGGGTAAAATGGTTTCTCTAGCCTTTCCTCCCGAGTCCAGATGTTGGAGAACAAGTCCTGCACAGAGTTATGCTGAATAAAAATCAGATCTATGTAAACTGTTAGTAAACCACCACCATCACCACATGAACTATGCACATTGCCTATTTTGTTAAGAAGAGAATTACAACATATTGTTTTCTTTCAAATATTCCTTTTAACTCTTAAACAATCAAACTCCAGACATTCTTCCAACAGAGGGAGGAGGAGCATAAGGAATTCTGCGGAGACGATGACGTCTCTTGCGAGGCTGTTTGCCTAAACGGAGCCACTGACTGAGAAGAACTATTCCCACCACCAAAATTAAGAAGACACCAAATAAAGACAAAGTGTTAGAACGAAGGTCGGAGGGATGGATGCTCACAGTCTGTTGAGTTTCCCAGGGAAGCTTGGACAATGAATGTGGTAACCCATTCTGTCTGAAGGGCAAGGGAACATCCAGACCAACTGAGAGAAGTTTCTGAGCTCTGTACAAGTTGCTGAAAAAACATTTAAACTTGTTAATACATTATTGTTTACCATAACTTAATAAATTTTCTACTAAATATAATGTTAAAAAATGTGAACAGTTGAAAGTATTGTCATAAATATTTGAACTTCGTATTCATGAACAATTATTTATTTATAAAAACCAAAACAATTTATTTTAACAAAATATTCTACTGTGCATTAATAGTATATTACACTGGAGGATTGACAAAAACCAATTACAAGTATGCTGAAATCTTGTTAGCTTTTTTATGTAGAGAACACTTCCAACAGAAAGATCTGTCTTCTTCAAATACAATATATATATATACTACCCGTATATACCTGAA